ATAGAATACAGCGTCTCGTTACTTAGCGTGTCGCGTTCACCGTCACCAAAGTCGAAGACACGCTGGCCGTGCACCAGCCAAGGTAATCAGCACTTGAAATAGCGGCTATCTACCCAATCTGTTGCTAGTTAAGCTCTGAAATGTCATGCCAGGGAACAGCCCATCAGCAAAGAAATAAACTACAGTGGGTACGCACGAAAATACTACGCAAAATTGAGTGAAGCATCGTTGACCCGGCCATGCACCGAACTAAACACAAGCCCTGATAGCATATGGCCTGCATATGCCCCCTCTCCCCCCAATCATGCCACTCGACCAAACAATTAGCCAGTCAACCTCTTAGCCAAGTGTGCGATAAGCCACTGAGCAAATTTATAGTTAAGCTTGACATATAAGAAATTAGCACTGGTTGAAAAAAAGAATTGCATGCAGTACTAGATTTTGTTTATTTGCCCCTCCTGACATAGCCGTGCTTCAATGGTCGGTGGGTGATAATACCTGCGGCAATATTTATAGACACTTTTCGTTCAAAGTTTCGCGACCCATTTATTTTGACCAGGCAGTTGTAATGAACTTAGCCACTGCTGCCGGCCTAATAACGTGAGCTGGGGCATTTGGGCCCCAAAACATCAGTGTTAGTGAATGTGTGATTTTTTTTTTGAAGAGTTATTGGCAGCTGTACGCTGCCTGATACTTTATCGATAATTTGACATAGCCATTGACGTGTGTATCACTCGTTCTACCTCAAAAAGGCAGGAGTCAAGGCAAGATAGAAGCTTGAAGAGTTAAAAAGTTTCCTAAACAGGGAATGTGATAGAGCTGGCGTATCGGCAAGGTGACTTATGTCACTGTGTGAATTGGGGCTGCATAAAAGCATGAAAACGTCTTATTACGACTTACCTGAGCTATAAAGTTGGCAGGGCTAGTGAAGCAGCTCCTTACGCCGCTTTTATGACCTCACACCTTGTTCGTGCACTTTACGTGGGATAAATAGGTAAACTGAAAGTGACACCCCTTTTTTTTCTGCTGGCATTGCGAGCATATGTCTACACAATGTGTTTCGCAAAATATTAACTCGACCACTTTTTTCTCGTACTATAGAATGTGCTTTGTTAATTACAGAGACAAGAAAAAAATACATACCGGATGCGTCATTCACCCAAGTGGCGCTGCCCACAAGATGATGAATGATATCCAGGAAATGAGGTACAGGTTCACCATTTTTTATTTCTTGGTTATCGTCGTATGATACTCTGATATTGTTATTGATGACTCCTTTCTAAAAAACGGGGAAATTTATTTCATTTAAACCATGTGTCCTCTAACTGACGAGGGACATGCAGATGTACAGTTTTTCACGAATTCGCTATAACGCACATGCCAATTGCTTTATTGTACAAATCTAATTTGGTGCCCTCCCTGTCCTTCCTTTTTCAATCCTCCTCTAATTTGGTGTGGCTTAACGGAATTATAATGGCTTTGAGAAAACAGTTCATAAATCGTTGCTTTGGAGTGTAGAGGAATGAATATTGTTTGCACAAATTTGTTCCGACCACTCTTCATATGGACAAGAAAAAAATATAACACCACAGGCATAGCCAGTAATATGTCCCAGTGAATGGGCAATTCGATGGCTCGCAGAAGAAGGTATCAAAGGTGCCCTCTCACGTAAACATCTGGCTTTTCGTATGCAGACTAGGTCTTGAAACTGATGTGTCTGAGAAATCTTGAGAAACGAGAAAAATGCCATATATACCCATTGTAGACGCGACATTGGAAGTTTGTCGTCTGCCGTTATGTCGTTGTCAAAGTAGTTGGCTGGAATCCCCTTGATGTGTACAACCAACGAGCTCAGGCAAGCACTATTCTCATCGTCATTATAATCATCAGCCTAACTACACCTAATGCAGGGCAAAGGCCTTTCCCAAGGTCAACCAATCAACCCGGTCTTGTGAATTCCGTTGCCGCATTATATCTCTGAGCTTTTAATTCACCTCGACCCACCTAACTTCCTGCCTCCACTTCTTGCGTTTGCATTCTCTAGGAATCCAGTAAGTTGCCTTTAATGATCAGCGGTTATCCTGCGTACGTGCCACATGCCCGGTCCATGTCCATTTTTTCTTCTTGATTTAAAGTATGATATCCTTAACCCCGATTTGTTCCCTGACCCTCTCTGTTCTCTTCTAGTCTCTTAAGGTTACACCTATAATTTTCTTCCTCATCGCTCGCTGCGTCGTCCTCAATTTCAGCTGAATCCTTTTTGTAAACCTCCGGGTTTCTGCTCCGTGGGCAAGTACTGGCAAGAGGCAGCTGTTATATACCTCCCTCTTGAAGGTTAGCAGCAGATTATCCTTCATTATTTAAGAATGCTTGCTTACAATGATCCACCCCATCCTTATTCTTGTAGTTATTTCACTCTCATGGTTACGCTCCGTGGTTATGACCTGTCCTATCTAGAAATATTCTTTTAGAACTTTCAGCGTTTCTCCACCTATCGCAGAGTGCTCTTTTCTGCCGAGACTGTTGAAAAAAATTTAGTTTCATGCATATTATTTTCAGACCTACTTTTCTACTTTTTGTGTCCAGTTCAGTAATCGTGAGCTGTAATTCATCCCCTAAGTTACTCATAGAAGGAATGTCATCAGCGAATTGCAGGGATTTATATATGCTTCATTACCTCTCATCCCTAACTCTTTCTAAGAGTCCCGAAAACCTCCTGTAAACAGGCGGTGAATAGCATTGGACAGATCGTGTCTCCTTGCCTCACACCCCTCTTTACTGGGATTCTGTCAATTTCTTTGGGGAGAACTATGGTGGCTGTGGATACACTGTAGATTTCTTCCAGTATGTTTATATAAGGTTCTTCGAAGCCCTGATTTCGCAGTGCCTGCATTACTGCTATTATCTTGACTGAGGTAAACCTCTTCTCGTAATCTATTAGGGCGATGTATAGGAATCGGTTGTATAACATGCATTACTTTATCACCTGATCGATAGTATGAATACGGTCTATTGTGGAGTAGCATGTAAAAAGTTTGATTCATTCTTTGGTTGATTGTATTCTGATGTCACTCTAACTTTATTAGCTATATTTTTGTAAACAGTTTGTAGAGAATGAAGCCTATTGACCGGTAATTTTGCAAGTCCTCGACGTCTTCTTTTTTATAGATTAGGATGATGTTGGCGTTCCTCTGAAATTCTTGTACCCCTACCATGAAAAGACACTTCGTATGGTAGGTGGCCCATTTTCCTAACATGATTTTCCCGCCATCTTTCAGGAAGTTCAATGTTGCTTTATCCTTACCAGCGGCTTTGCCTCTTTGCATTTCTTTTATAGGCTTTTCTTACTTCCCCTGTCATCACTGGTAGGATGTCGAATTTCTCTGGACTATTATTGTTTCTGACGATAACATCCTAGTTATTTTGGCTTCGGTACACCTCTCTGTAGAACTCCCCCGCCAACTTGACTATCCATATAGGTTATAACATTGCCTTCCTTGTTTCCCACTGCGTACATCTGATTTTTGCCCGTGCAAAAGTCTCTTACCGTAGCTTTCAGCCTTCCGCTGCTTTTTACAGCCTGCTGAATTTTCTCTATGTGATACCTTCTGATATCGGCTACCTTACACCTATTGATTAAATTCGAAGGCTCGACTAGCTCTGTTTTGTCTGTTGCATTTGAGGCTTGCATGTTTTGTGATCACTTAATAAGATTTTTCGTCTCCTGAGATAGTTTGCCAGTGTCCTGTTTAGTAACTGTACCTCCGGCTTCCATTGCACACTCTTTGATGATACTAGTCATATCTTCATTCATTGTGTCAGCGCTAACGTCGGTTACCTCGTTTAGATCCTCGAATCTATTTTGAATAGAGACTCTGCATTACCATACTTCTCCTCTCACCGCTAGTTCATTATTGGCTTTTTGCATAGCAGATTTTTTCTTTACTTTTTTAGATCTAGGTGAATATGAGCTCTTACCATTCTATGGTCATTGCATAGCATCTTGCCAACTACGTCTACATCCTGTTTACAATGCCTGGGTGTGCACACAGAATGAAGTCTATTTTATTTTTAGTTTCGCCATTAGGTCTTTACCACGTCCACTGTCGGCTAGCTCATTTTGTGAAGGAGGTATTCAAGATCTGTAAATTATTCCATTCTGTGAGGCTTTCTAATCATCTCCTGCTGGTGTTTCTAAAGCCGATGTCATATTCCCATATTACCCCACTGCATGGCCTCTGATCTGCTTCTTGCTTATACTTTCGCATTAAAGTCGCTCATCAGAATAGTATACTGTGTCTTGGCTTTGTTATTGGCTGATATTACGTCTTCACAGAAAAGTTCAATTAAGTATTCATCACGGCTCGATGTATGTGCGTAGGCCTGTACCACCTTCATCTTGAACCTTTTGTTAAACTTAATTATGACATTTTTCACCTTCTACATTGCCAGTGATATTCTTGTGTATAAGAAACTTCAGAGGCTTCAGAGTGTCTGCGCTGATGGCCACTCCCGTGACGAAATAATTTAGAGAGTGGGGTTATCAGTGCAGTCGACAGCTATTTCAGTGCGGCTTGCCGTTTAAGAAACTGAAGTATAGCTGGGCCTGCATTTCATGCTATAGCAGGCAGAAAGTCTGCTCTACAGTTGCCTACCCTTGCGCAAGGGCATTTCCGACAGGCCGCAACTGCAAGTGAAATCGTAATATTCAACTTGTTTTTTAAGTATTGTGAAAGCCTATGTTCAGAAGAATAAGTGGGGAAAGTCATCCCAGTTAGGGATGAGAGGTAATGAAGCATATCAAAAATAATTTTTATTCATCGTCGTATGTTTCGCTTGCACGCTCTTGAAGCTAGCATGATTACAACTCTTTAGAGACTAGTTTTAATATTTTTAGCTTTGATTGATTGATATGTGGGATTCAACGTCCCAAAACTACCACATGATTATGAGAGGCGCAATTTAAGCTTTGATAGCTTTATGAATAAGGATGCTGAGAAAATAGTGCAGAGTTTTCAGCCCTCTGTCATAAGCCCTTTTGAATTAGAGGCCTGGAAACTAGGCAAAAAAAAACACAGTTTTCGGGTTAATTTTGAGATTTTTGAAATTATCTGAACTACCCAGAAAAGAAAAAAAGTAACTGAGGGTAAGCACAAATACGCATATAATCAGTTAAAGAAATTTCAAGTTTGTAGCTTCAATTCATTTTGTGTATTTCCTGGCGAAAAAAAAGAACATCAGAGCAGATAAGCGTGGCACTCCGCCTGTTCGTCATGATTGATTTACTATGTTTAGAGTATTTGTTTTCCAGAAAAACCAACGGCGCATTCTTTATTTCCAATCGTCAGGCAAAAATATATGAAAAAAAAAATAGGAGGTCGACCAGCCATGCTTTGTTCGATCTTACGTGAAATTGCGCTGCTAATGTTGAATGTTATAAAGTTTTGAAAGTGCGGGTAAAATTAGGCAAGTGTGGTGCTATTTTTGCTTAGCAAAAGGGTCAAACTGCTTCTATGAATTGCGTCACACGTAATGAGACAATTTTTTCAAGGCTTGTGTTACGTTGTGACTCTGTCCTCTAAGCAGATGTGGAAGTTATGTGAGTGATCTTTAGTCACCATAACGAAACCTGCGATAAACGAAAGAGCACCGGGTTCTCAGTGATGGGCGTTCTCTACCAGTGACATGCAGTCACTATACAATACACAAATAAAAACAATAGATCAATATGACAGGTAGATGGCGAACAAAAAACATTGTGTACTTACAATCCGGAGTCCCTTTTCTGTCGTTATTAGTAGCACAGTTGAAGACTCTGCATGTTCGTATACTTCACGTGACTCTATTTGAATGTCTTCCGGCTGATTTCAACAAACAAACAAAAAGCGACCCGTAAAAATATCTCATGTCAGGAATAAAAACATTGAAAGAGAAATGCACTTTGCACTGACGCACCCAATGACTTCTCACTAATTAGAAGAGCTCACGCACAAAACCTCACGTGCTACCTTGAAGAAAGCAAAAAGAAGCAATACTCACATGGCTAGTAAGGTTAGCCACATCAAACATGCGGACAACCCGAACATTTTTTGCAAGTGGAGAAGCCCTTTGGAGGCGTAACACAATATCACGCGTAACCATTACAATCAGCTCCTCTCCGGCGCTTCGCTCCTCTAGGAGAAGCGGCCACACTGTTTCTCTTTTTCTGGGCCCTGTAAATAAACCAGTCATGCTGGAATGTTCGATCAATATGTGGGGTTTCACGTCCCAAAACCACCATATGATTATGAGAGACGCCGTAATGGAGGGCTCCGGAAATTTTGATCACCTGGGGTTCTTTAACGTGCGCTTAAATCTGAGCACATGGGCCTACAACGTTTCCGCCTCCATCGGAAACGCAGCCGCCACAGCCGGGATGCTAAAATGTTGAAGCGGCAGATTTAAGTGGCGCGAACTGCGTGCGCTAGCCTTCCACGACACGAAGCAAATAATATGCTTCGAAAGTTTAGACGGACAGCCTCATGAAATGGTATAGATAAAAATCAGTAAGCCTTTGAACTTCAGCGAAAATAAAAATTTGCGGGAAACACAATTCACCGAGCGCGATGACTAAAGCCTACCTCGGTTTTACGAGAAGAATTCTCATTGGCTTACCACCCAATGGGCAAAATGCACGATGGAAGCCGTCACACTGCTTCCGCGTAGCTCATTTCGACGTAGTGCCGCTGTTGTGGCGCCTCGTACTGTTGCTGAGCGTGAACGGCATGTCGTAGCTCGAGGTGTATCATCTCCGCAACGAAGAGCTAACCTACAGGTCAAGCAGTCACCTGTATCTTTCATAGCTCCTCCTACATGGCAGCTCTGAGGAGCTCTCGCAACACGATGATGTCACTGCCGACAGTGACAGAAGTGGCCTCACTTGGATGTACGAAATCATGTTTATGATGCCTAGCACGTGGTTGAAGGACCCTCTCCATGGCAGTTGCTCCGCAAGTGTCACAGGTGGGTTGCGAATCAAACGGGCAAAAAGCACTGCTTTGATACCACGCATTAGGCGGCGAAACTTTTTTGATTCAGACGTAGAGGACTCCGCATGCCTTAAAAGGTGATCCATGTCCTCCGCGTAGGTCGTCATCTTTTCGTTAGAGTCTTGAACCCTTGCCTTACGCTATCTTCTTCCTGTCCGCTCTGGCAGAGGCCCTGAGGAACTGCCGGCGAAACTCATCCCGTGTTGCTTCGTGGTTCTGAAACCACGTTTTCGTGGAGTCCTCCAGAAAGCTGTACACACAGCATAGCTTACGCTCTTGGGTGAAGTCGTTGATGACGACGACCCCGTCGAATGCTCTGGCCAGTCATCGGCATCTTCAAAACCAGCTCCGTGAAATGACGTCGGCATCTTGGGTTGGTTGACAACCAGGTGCGGTGGTGCTGACGTGGTGAAGTAGGGGGTGTTTGGTTCAAACTCTCTGTCGTTCAGATAGCAAACCATGCTGTGGATCGAGTCCCTGGAGACGATGACAAGAACGTACGTGCACAAGGGTAAGCTTGGTTGAGCTGCTCGATGAACTTTCGTCTGAGGTGCTCTTTGGGGACTGTATCATCTACCGTAGCCAGCACTACCACCTAAAAATGTCGCAGGTACCCAAGGACGTGGACCCAAAACCAGGCGTTTATTCTTGGAATAAAGAGAAAAAAATCAGAGCACGCGCATACTGAACTACTTAGTTGTGCTCCTTCGAGAGGCTGGCCACTATAGTTGCCAGCGTACCTTGCGTCAAAATTAGCATGTGTTGCAGAACAAAGTCACTTAGAAGTTAATTTTATAGCACCTAGGAAGGGCTTCGCATTAAAAAAAAAGTCGCGTAGCTCACTGTAGAGGCGATATGATAAGGGGAGAGAGGAGCTTATGGGGAGCTTTGTGCCAGTGATCCTAAGCCTGAAGGAAGTTCAGAGCTAGGCGCTTGTTTTTTCTATTTTTGGTTCTTTCTTTTTTTTCCCACGTCTTCTATGTCTTTCTAGCCATATAGTTTCCTAAAATTATCTAGAGGGGACTCTGGCGCTGTGATCGTTCAGCGACCATGGGAATGATAGGTAGTACACGCATTTGCCTACTCTCCTTAGTTGCGGGTGACCAATCGTACTTGCGGCTTCGTTTATTGCTGTGTTTCGGTATTGTTTTGAAAAAAAAAAACGAGTCAACCCTTTTGAACTTTGCGACCCGATTCAGAATGGTAAGCTTAAAAAAATAAGGTTGTGAAGCGCATACGCTGAACATTTGCTAATTTATTTTCGTGAAATAACAGCTCTAAGCAACGCAAAAACTCACGGAGCCAGAAGCAGGCCAGATGTACGAAAATTAGACAAATGTACGTACTACCCATCATTTCCATGCTCGCTGAAGCGCCGTGCGTTGCAGCTCCTTTAGGCACTAGCGCCAGAGTTCCCTCTACTGGATATTAGGAAACTCTATGTTTCTTGCTTCTGTTAACTTTTATTTCGTTCTCTTTCGTTTCATTTTCTATTTATTTATATTTTCTTTCTTTACTATGTATTACTCTCCTGCTTTTTCCCCTTGGCATCTTTTTGCTGGCTTTCATTTCCCTCTTAAGTTTCATTGTTAGTTCTTGGTTCTCTGTTTCTCTCTCCATTCTTTTGCTTTTTATCTCTCTTTGGCTTTCAGTAGATCTTTATGCAGTTATTGTTCTCCATCTATCCGTTTCTCATTTGATATCTGCTGTGTGTTCCTCTCTGTACCCTGCTCCCCCCCCCCCCCCGATTCCCATTTGACACCGCCTTGCCAAATCGATAACATACAAGTCTATGATATGCTCTGTTTTGCATTCCTGGGTAGCCGAGTAGTTGAGATTTCGGTGAGCAGATTCTGAGTACGAGTGTTCGAATCCCACCACTTTGCGAGGAATCGGTTTTCTTTAAATATTTTTATTTATATCGATTCATTTGGTCTCTGTCTTTTTGCCCGATTTCCTCGCTAAATGACGGAAAAGTCAACATGCGCGTGTTCTTGGAGCGAAGCAAAATATGGCAAAAAAAAGAGGGGCAGTCGGTTCACGATGACAATAGTATTATGTTTCTGGCATAGCTATTACGGCAAGCTTCATGGTTTCACAATTAAAATATGCACAGTATAAGAGCGTCCTACCACTAGACGACAGTGACTCAGTTCACCGCGACCTGCTTTTAAATTTAGCAGTATTTATCGCAATAGCGTTGTGTATAGATTTTTGCCTGAATTGTGGAAGCTAATTAGGCACACGGTAAAGAAGAATAAGTAGTCGAAATTTCCGAAGCCCTGCCCTACGACATCTCACGTTATCATATGGTGGTTTCGGGACTGTAAGCTCCCAAAATAACAAATATTATTAGAGTGGTGGGTGTTCGTGGTGGACACCAAGGGAAACCTTCTTTTTTAGAATACTTAGGACAGCATGCTTGCCAGACGTTCGGTTGCGTAAAGGCATTGTTATGAAATCCAGTAATTAAAGATACGCGAAGGTGACTATGGGAATCTTGAATCCACTAAAACTTTGTTGAAATCGTGAGCCGACAGTCAGATTTTGAGTAATGAAAGTGCCAGGAAATATTAAGTATCAAACCATTCTAAGAAAGTATTAGGAAAAAAAGAAACAAGAAAACGCAGACACAGACAGTAATCAAACAATACATATTCCGAATATTGACTTCTTCTAACGACCAGAACAGAGATATACAATGACTACTCGAGCTCAATTAGAAGGAAGCACCAATACGATTATACTAAGTAATACAAGGAGTATTTAAAACAATCTCGACGTAAAGAAGCAAGAATAGGATGAAAAATCCTTAGTGGGAATGACGGATAGTAATCTTAAGAATCTGAATAAGGTAATTCGGTACAAGCCATGTGATTGCTGTATATAGGCACATAGGCTGCCACGGCGGGCAAAAAATCACTCAGGGGGTGGTAGAAGGCAAGTCATCAATATGTAATACTCCTGTGAAACGTTGCATCTAAGCCAACCGTAAAAAAAACATTAACTATGATGTCCTGATTAGCAAGCGGTAAGACTGGTCCATGTTCACATCTTGCCACGGTGGTTTACGGGATGCGTTGCTGTTTTTGTTTATGCTCCCTGCTGCGTCTCATTATGACAAGTCTGTAGTGGCAAGAATATTTTCTATCGCTTTGCTTGCCGTTGATGGACGGAAGGAAACATGAACAGTAGCTGTAAATGTGTCTCTCACATCGAATAAAGATCTGCAGAAAACGTGCGAGATAAATAGGAAGAAATATACGCACAAGGCGCCCCGCTTGCCAACAGAAGTGTCATTGAACATAGAGCAGCCGCAAATGCCACGTTGTATCGCATTTGATCCAAGAGTGCCTATTGAAATATGAACATACATGTATTTATTCTTTTGTATTATACACCCAAAATCGTAATTTCAAAAATTTGCTGAGCATAAATATTGTAGTAAACACATTCGCAACAATATTTCCGCATAGGTAACATATGACTAACACAAGTCCAACTCATAAATATATATATTGAGCAATGCCAGAGCACAGCAATTATGAAAGAGTGTAAATCATTGTTAATACGGGCAAATAAAAAGGGAAGCATATTGTGGAGCACAGACGTAAAACACGTAGGCTGTATTCATCCTCAGCACGGCGAAATAAGCACTCAAATTTTTACGCACCTTCAGCGGATACCTCAGGTGATTCTCACGCTGACGTGCACAGTTTTCATCGGACATAAGCACCACCACGAGGTATGCTTAAGACACGTGTTGTGAAAGTCACAACTTAGCGCACGCACTTACAAGTGTGCATAAGTCAACCCGAATGAACTTATATGTATCGAACCAAAACGCATTAGGCTGACGTGTTCCTAAGTTGTCACCTACGCAAATATATCATTACATGCAGCTGAAGAAGACATGGCCGGTGTCCAATTAGGCAGCACATGTCGCTATATGGTCATTGTGTTCAAGTTTGACATATTTAGACAGGGTACTACACTGCATAGAATAACGAGTACGATATCCTATAGTACTGAAGTGTAGACTCTAGGTCTCGCGTAACGTGGACAGAAATCAACTGCAGAGTTTTTTCGGTAAAAAAGAGAGAGTTTGGACGGTTATTAGACACAAACTTAAATTTGGTGAGATCATTCTAAGAGCGAAAGCAGAGGCGGAATATTCAATGTGAAAGAAAAATTCAATATGCTTATACGTTGGGCTAAATAATTATCAAGAAAACAAAGCGAATGTTTTCTTGTCTTACACAGAAGAACTTTGGTCTCTAAGCCATTGAGGCAATGTTGAAGACATACTGACGTATTTTGTTTTAGGCCAGTGTAATGTAAAACTATTGGTTATGATGTTCGAGATAGTTATCCTGTTTTTCTCCACGCGCACGTGTCAAAGAAAATACTTTCACAGGATACCTGAAACAGGCAATGATAAAATACAATTCTGATATTCAGTGGGATAAGTCACAAATGATGTATACATACACGCAAGTCAAAAGTTCCTCGGGGATTGATGGATTATGCAGCAAAGCTACTTACTTGGTACGTGTAATGAAGCGTGGCTGCGGCTAAACATTGAGCCAGCTGTCTTTGAATTACCTATGGCCATTAGATGAAATTTGGCAAGCTGAGATGTGCGCTAACATTTTTAATTGTTTGCATGCATGGTGGTTTTTAAAGCGCGTGAGTAAGGTTGTGGCATTTGTAAAAGATCGTGTTAAGAAGTACTGGGGAAGGCATATTTTGAACAATGCTTAGTGCAATGAAAGCGGGAGGTGCCAGTTTTATTGCCTGCATGCTACATGTCTACCACACCATATTTTCTGTTGATTTGGAAGTAATACTCTCAAATAAAGTAAAGGGGCACTACAGGCTGCGTTGTAAACTCGTCGTTTACTCTGGGATAGAATCTTGTCGAATTATGTATTGCAGTTTGCCCCATATTTCCCGAAAATAACTGTGCCTAACCTAATTTTGCACTGCCTCTGTTATAGAACCTAGTTTGGGCCATGCTAAAATGGGCATGATGGAATCAAGGCTTCGACGCATGCCCGTCTGGTCGGGAAGGAACATTGAATGAAAATGCAAAAACGCCGACCACAAAAGAAAAATGTAATGACGTTTTGGCACCCGGAACGGGAGCCTTGTTCACGGGAGCCTTGTTCCCAATGACCATGTTCACAAGGTCATTATGAACATGGCTCCCGTTCTGGGTGCCGAAACGTCATTGATTGATTGATATGTGAGGTTTAGCGTCCCAAAACCGCCATATGATTATGAGAGACGCTGTAGTGGAGGTTCCGGAAATTTCTACCACCTAGGGTTCTTTAACGTGCACCCAAATCTGAGCACATGGGCCTACAACATTTCCACCTCCATTGGAATTGCAGCCGCCGCAGCCGGGATTTGAACCCGCAACCTGCGGGTCAGCGGCCGAGTACCTTAGCCATCAGATCACCGCAGAGGGGCGCCGAAACGTCATTACATTTTTCTTTGGTGGTCGGTGCTTTTGCCTTTTTATTTGATGGGTATGATGCCACTTTATGTGAAGTCACAGTGAAGTAGTAGTGGCTTATATTTTTTTGACGATCTTTCACGTAATCATTGCCTCATAGAGCCTTATTGTCTTATTCGGTAATTTGTTCTTACTTTTTATGTTGACGCTTGCACCAGTTATCAGAGTCGGACGACACACCTAAGGCCATTGCCTTAAACAATAACATTTTCGTATCAGAAAAACGAATTCGGCCCAGTTTGCCGAAGCGTAACTCAAGAGTCCATTCACGAAAAAAATCACATGGTTGTGATGACTATCAGCAGGTGCTAGAAGAAAGAAGCTGATCCCCACAATTATTATTACAAAAAAAAAAACCTGACTAGTCTCACAGAGTATCCACTTTTCCAATCTACACGCCCTCCCCATCACCTTTCCCATTTTCGTTAAATAAATCTTGCTCCTCCTTCTTTCAAAAACACTATTAACTTATTTTATTGTCCTGAGAGTTAACTTCATCTTAGGTATTGCTATGCTCCAACGTTACATGCTGCCATTGTAGCTCAGTTTGAACGAAAACCATTCATTTATATTTGTTTACAGGAATTTGTATGAATGTTCATGCAACTGTGAATGAGTAATCGAACGGATCTGCTTGCAAAAAACAAAAAAAAACAAAAAAATAGGAGTGGCCCTCGGTGTTCGCACCACTAAAATTATGAGAAAATATCACAAATCCTGTTTTCGCACTTGTTTTGGTGGATACAAATCCCAAGTAATTACCTTTCTCAAGTCAACACAAAAAGAGCGTGACGTTCATAGTCTTATTCTTGTTCAGTACTGACATAATAATGAATTCTTTTTCTGGCATTTTGATGCGTTATGCAAGATACCCACGGACTTTTTTTTGTTTACACGGATCACAGTGTAGTTTTAAGAAATCTTACTTGTTATGCACGAGGGCAGTACAAGCCTTGTGTATGTGTTGATGTCAGACAACAGTCATACTTAATTGAGCCCAACAAGAAGATCGTTAGCGATGTGCAAGTGAAACTAATTATTCATAATTTACGGACAGCTATGAAAATATTTTTCTTGGAACGTTAGAAAGAATTGCCTTTTATACCTCTAGGTGTTTCTGAGAATCGTCCATAATAACAAATTCAAAGTTCAAGAGTGTATTGGGTGTTACTTTAGGCGTAGTCTCTTGCAAGCATTAAGTTACTGGCCTCAATTTATCAAACGTACAAGAATATATTACATGTACCAAATGATTATCTGTGGTCACCCCGATGTATAGATTATTCAAACGTACTCGAGGGACATTATTGAGTTAACAGGAATGTACCATAGGCTTTTTTTAGTAACGCAAGTGCAAGTTTTGAGAGCAAGAAGCAGGGCTAAGTTTTTTTGTCAGTTTGGAGCGTTGACGAATGTGCCTTTCATTCACTAAGCAAAGAAAGCATAATCTTTCTACTCTATTACAGTGGTGGAAGCTAGGCTGAGTTTTCATTTATGCAAAGTCATTACGGCTGAAACTGATCACTGCTGGGTTGAGACAGGAAAATGAAATTTCTACTATATTGATCAAGCAAATAAAAACAAAATATACATGCCTAATAGGGAAGCTTCTGTGTTAGCAAATTAAATTCAATTTCTTGACATTTAGTACAATGACAGAATACGCCCAAATTCAGTAGAATACTCTGAATGCAGCTATCATTACACTAAATAATTATAAAGGCGCAACCCTTATAGACAGAAAAAAGGAAACGCGATCGGATAAGGTGTCCTATTCTGTCGCCTTTACTGTATTAGGGTTGTGTCCATCATTTTTCTTCAGTATGAAACAACTAGCCCAACAACACGTTCTAGTAAACTACATTACACTAAAATACGTTCTGATCTCAGCTCAGAATACACTCTCCTCGAATTAGTCTTAAAATACGTCAGTGACCCAGCAAGGGAAGTAGCGAAAGTTAATCTTTCTTCACCCTACGTCTTGGACCTGGAAATGAGTTGAAAAACTGGGAATGCGATGGCATGACACTTTCTTTCAATCTGGGGCCACGTAGCTGATCTTCACAATATTCTGCCAGTAAATTAAGGCAAGACCACTTACCTACTCGTTTCAAGTAATCACTCCATTCGAATGAATTGAACAATCGATCACAGGGTCGGTGATGTTGACGCGAAGCAGGATAAAAGTATGTTATGTTGGGCTAGTTGGTACATATTAAGTTTACATACGTGGCGCAAAATATCCAGTGAGAAGAACAAGAAGAGACAGAAAGAGCGATAAAAGTGTCTTCACAGCCACCAATGTCCCAGCCTTTAAACATTCATAGAATCTGCGTAAGTTTTGCGAAGTTACTGAGCGCTAAAAAGGCATTCTAGTAAAGGTGCCGAGGAAACGCTTATTTAAGCTTGCTTTTCACCTGGCTAATTAGCATTCTGCGCCTTACGCGCGCACTCGCACATGGCTCCAGGTAATTAAGACTCATTAGCCATATTGTACTCAAAACATATTTGGCAGCTTCATTCTCTACACAAAAAACGCCCAGTTATCTCACTTTTTTATTTTAAACAACTAATGATTGGAGATATACAACCTTGATTGAAGTCATAAAGATGTTTTTTTTGTACCGCATATAACACAAGAATAGTTCATCTGGATTTCAAGTACTGGTTGTAACCATAGTCAGCACAGGGCATACAGTTTTGTTGGCGTGATGGCTTGTGAGCAAAGAACACTGCCGGCTAAAATTTGATAAGAGCAATCAGTGCACTGTCGTGATCCTACGTGTGCATGCTACTGCAGTTGAGGACTAAAAAAAGGCAGCCACCAGAAAGCGCCGGAAACGTCGGCCTGTCGTCAGTTAGTACACAGACTTCGCGTTTTTAATTGTTGCCATGACTGATGCAAAGCAGCCGATTGTACCGCGATAATTAGCAGCCGATTCACTGTCTGGGTAATGCATTACAGTCATCTCGGTAGACGAAAGTGATTGAAGCATCTCTACTTAGACTTAGAAGCACGTTAAGAATCCCTGGTGGTTGGCATTTCCACAGCCCTCCCACTGCGGCGTGTCTTGTGCTCATATTGTGGTTTCACGGCGTGAAAGCTTGCAACTATTGTAATTTGTATTGCAACAAAAAGTGGATCAGGCCATTCGAATCCTCCGGTATCTCTGCGGGGCCAAATGGGGTGGTACTACAGAGTCGTTATTAGCCCTACATGTTGCCTGGATACGCCCCATCGTAACTTACT